CTGTTAAATTCATTGTCATCGGATCACATAATTTATAAGGTGCATGTTAGGTTTTAGTATGTTTGATAATGTACTTTTTACTATTAAATCTGTCAGAAATAATTAAATTTTGACCACTAACCGTCGTGTATATCTTTTAAGTTCACCGAACTCGAGGAGAGCATTTATCTAGTCACGCGTAGTGACTATATATGAAGTCGTTTTTTCAGAAATGCGAGTCGTATCATTTCAAAATTGGGTGTCTGTAATGGCAGATGCAGGTAGCAAATATGCATGTATATTTATCTAAAACTGAGGAGCAATCGATTTTATCAGTAAATATGTATATATAGTTAGGTTAAGAGTCTCTTCTGAACTGAAATATTTGCCAGGAGCTGTTGCACATATACGATTTCTACCTAAACGGATGAATATGTGTCTATTTTAATCAAAGTGTCGATGTGACTTCTTGAATTTAATTGTGTGATTGAGTTGTTTATTATTGAAAATTTCATCCACTTATGATTGCATATGTAATTGAATGTTCACTTATACACTAACCTGCCTATAAGAACTGCAGAGCGATGGGAGGCAAAGGTTGTCAGATCGGCATTTTTTCCGGCCAGATTAGACAGCCATTTCTCTAATTTGGTTTGACACTTAGAATATATGAATATTGAAGTCCACGGATCTAATGTAATTTCCAACTTAGTGTCTGATAAAACCGCAAAAATTGGATTGTTGCAGCGTAAATTACAAATTTAATAAAATCTTGAGTAGTTATGACAGTTTTCGTTAGCCACCATATGACAAACCAGTGCAGGAAATGCAAAAACGCAGTAGTCAGTAAAGGCCATCTTTTTCAGATCTCGATTAACCTACGCTTTTCATTCTGTAGCGTTACTTAAAAGCATACGTAGTGAAAGTTGCGACATGAAAATAGTTCAGTTTTAGATTGCCATTAATTTTGATCATGTTCAGCAGCAGAAATTTCTTGGTTTTTACCGTCAAGTGAAGTTCCCTAACGTTCTAAGTGAAGTTCGCTCAATATCACTGCCGTAATTAAGACTCTAAAACTTTGGAAATAGCAAATAATTTCTATTCGGTGTATATTTTTAGAGAGCTGCTATTTGAATTCTAATTTGCAATAATGACAACTGGATCAATCAGACGTTTCGAATTATCAACAATCTACCCAGTTCGAAATTCTCGCAGTCATTGCGGCCGTTCGCCGCAGAGACGTTCGCAAACGCGCAAATCTAGGCCGTTGTTGCCGACTTTACCTCGCGTCCAAGCAGTCTAGCGACGATATGGCCTCATCTGCAACGAATAGCGCGAGGCCTCGGTCGGCAAAAGCTGCTACATTCCTGCGCTGTTGATCACCCTGGCGTTGCGCTGGGGCGAGCGTTGGCGCAGGCAAGTTCACCCGCGGCTGGCTTCCAGACTGCGGCGATTTCTGACTGGGTATTGATGTTACGTCCATGGTTAGCTGGGTTCTGACTGGGCAGCTCTCGCTATAGGCTTGCAAGTATATAGCACGCTACAACGTTGCTAAGCCTATTCCTAAGCAAATTAGTGTCTTGCTTCCCTTTATTTTGAACCGTTAACTGTTAGACTCCTTTGTTATCGCAGGAAGTGGAAGTATCGTTACGATTTGGGTTATTTTCGAGAATTATGAAAGTATCGTTATGATTTGGGTTATTTTCGAGAATTGTGAAAGTATCGTTACGATTTGGGTTATTTTCGAGAATTATGCACAACATATTGAAACAAATGATAAGTTGCTTAAATTGCCACTGAGCATGGCGATGCTGTATAATGAATACAAATTTTAACTGATATTTCAACTGTAGTAAAGGTTCATTTTTTATCCGTAGTCAGAATAATTATCAAACCCGTGCAAAACAGTTTGCTCAACGGAACTTTTGAGCGACCCATTATTAAATGACAGTTTGGCAAGTCTCTAGCAAATTTTCCTGATGTAAGTTGTGCATGAAGGATGTTGATGCAATGGAGCCAAGACTTGCATTGATTAATCGCAAACGATTTTAGGTATTCCAGCGCTGCAACTGGTGAAATATATGACCAAATTAGAACCACGCTACGTTGAAATAAATACATGGTTACTACTTGCAGATCAAGTCAGTGCATTAAAATTGAACTTTGCCGTAACTTGGTTGGTGCTCATGTTCGTGGAAAATGTTTGATACTCGGTAAAGAATATTCGGCACTTGTGAATGGAGATAACGTTCGTTACGGGGGAATGGGGAACAATGCTCGTTACCTGTGAAGAGGTAACATTTTTGGTACTGGTGAATGAGGAAACTTGTTCGGTACTAGTAAATGGGGGAAAATGTTTGTTACTGGTGAATCGGTGAGAAGGTTTAGCACTGGCGAATCGTGGAGAAGGTTTGGTACTGGTAAATGAGGAAGCATATTTGGTTCTGGTGAATCGGGGAGAATATTTGGTACTGGTGAATCAGTAAGAATATTTGAATATTTTCGACACGACGAAAATAATGATGTGTCGAGGACAGGAAAACAGCGATAGAGCATGCAATAAATATTTTTAGGATTTATCCAAAAGAAAATAAGCTAAACCGCTTTCATTGTCCACGGAAGGGGCAATCGCGCTGCGCCACCCCTTCTTCCACGCGATCATTTCCGTCAGGACGCTCCTCTTCAAAATAGAAGAGCTAGCTCTTCTGGGCCCAGGTGAGGAGTCGTCTAGTAGGTGGTAGTGCACTAGTGAAGTTCCATCATCCGTACGGAGCCACAAGACGATAATCCAACGCACGGGTGGGCACAAAGGTTGCCAACGGGAACAACACAGGCGGGAGCAGCAAGGATGGTGGCTGAAGATAATCTGTACGTTGGCGGCCAGCGTTGCGCGACTTCGGCTTCGCTGGGGGGAAAACCTCAAAAAACCGTTAAAGCAAAGTCGTGGCCTGCTTGGCCGCTGAATGACTGCGTTAAATTTGAAATGTGATTGGAAAAAGTGGAGAAACACTCCAATGTCGTGCCTGAACTGAGCCTATTATCGTTACATCGTACTTATGAGCCTTACGACTATATTTCTACGTTTTAGTCGCGTAAATCAACCACCTCAACCAACTGTCGCGAATCCGTTCCACCATATGCCAGTTGGCAGAGCCAACTTCAACTGGCAGCTTCAATTGGATGAAGTTGCCACAACTGGTTTTGATGATGAGCTTCAACTGGTTGAAGCTGCTCGTGGTTCTGTTTTCTTCAGATCTTCACTTTAATTTGAAATAACACCCTATTTACGATCACTTCCGGTAGTGACTTTTTATTTTACTGTGTTTATAAGCGAAGAAAATCAAAGTACGTGGCCTCTTGTGACTTGCCCTGAAATGCGCTTCATCGCAGAAATATTAGCTTCATCAGTTTTATTTAACATGTTGGCATGGTTAACTCCAATCCATGAAATATTTTCCAGTCCGTGTTCATACTTCAGTGCAGCCGAAAAATAAGAAATTATTTTTCAGTAATGAGTTAATTGTCTCCACGACATCCTGGAGAAGAACAAAAATGAAGCTTTTGTGTCGAATTTTCATAACTATGAGAAAAGAAGACAGCAGATTTTCGAACAAAATCCCTGTCGATCGTAATTCAGTGATTTAACATTGTTGATGGTGAAAATTATCTTTCAGCTTTCATGTTTCATAAATATTCAGAGAGAGATTTGCGATAAGCCTCCTCAACTCCCTCCTCCCTACACCTTCGGTGTCGAACTTGGAAAAACAGAAAATTGACAACGGCATCCGGCCGGCCGAAGCGGTCGTTCATATACTAGGGAAATTTATAAATTTAGAATTAGTTAAAAATGGTATCAATAGAAGCAGAATTTTAATACGAATAACTTTCATAAAAGGGGTTTAACCCAAAAGGAAAAACCTCGAAATCTAAGCCGTTTTCGAGATATTGGCGTTTAAAGTTTATAGTCAGTTAAGTCGAGAATGTCTGCCGTTTTGGGAGCCAATTCTTTTTTTATTCTGCCAATTCTTTATTTTAAAGTTCTGAATTTGAATTGCATCAAAACGCAGCCGATGGCTATTTAATTCAGACTTATAAATAGTATGAATAAAGAAAGGGGCTTCGAATTACTCGCATTTAGCATAGACGTGCAATACTGTGGGCGTATTACATCCATCATTCCGTAACTGTTATACTTGAACTTTAAGAATCCAATTGCGCCAAATTTACGATAAATTTTATCGTTCTGCAATTCATATATGCCATTCACTAATCTGTAGGTTCATTTTTATGGTTGATTTTACTCCTCCAAAATAAAAACTCGTAATAATTTTATTCAATTCTTATCTTTTCCCTGATAGCAAGCGCTGAAATAGCAAATCAAGTGCATTCGAGGGTTCGCAGCTTTAATTTATGTGAAAATTTATTTAAATTATTTCTGTTTAGGATAAGTTTTCATATTGCCATTCCGATGTATAAAGTAAGAAACTGAATAATGCAGGCAATAAATTTTTTTAAACACAAGTGAGTTCAGCTGAAAGTTAGATATTCATTTTTAGAGGGATGTTACTCTTAATTTGCATCAGGGTTTCAAATAAACGAATTATTATTTTATTAAAGACAAACTTCTCTTTGTTAGACATTGAGAATTAGGTATTTATATCGAGGAAAAGCTGTGAGAAATGATGCCGAATGAAATCCGTTGGAACTGCTCAATTGGACATAAATAAAGGGGCTTTTTAGAAATTATTCCTAAGCGTTGTACCGCTTCCCATCAGTGGTTGATTGATGAAAATGACTTTAATTTATTTATAGGCCTTGAAAACACCGTTGTTCCTAATGTTCCTCATGGTACGTTGACATTCCATGTAAGAAACATTCTTTAGTGGGCTGGTAAAGCAGAACTAATATGGCCCGGAAAGTTCATTCCTATGGCTTCGGCATATTTTTCCTCTTTACTGTAAAACAGGAAAGTAAGCAATCATTTCCCTTTCACTTAATGGGGTTTCAAAACAAAACAATTGTTAAGAAACATCATTTATTTAGAACAATCATATTTATCACATTGCAGATAAATTATTCAACGTAAGCGGACTTGTGTCTAGGCATAATGAATATAAAGTAAGTCATGGATTCCAAAATGTAATTCTTCAATTTATTTTTTAACAAACTACACCCGAACCAAATGTTTTGTATGCCTAATACAAACGTGCAGCATTTTTGCGAACGCGCGTCAGTACGAAATGTGTCGGTTTTCTCAATTGCATGCTGAACTTGCGTATAAAATAATTTCAGCTACATCCACTATAGAATCGAAACTAATTTAACTTTCGCTTCCATCAATTTTATTTTTAATGTTCACATACATGGCTACACAATTGTTGCTTGATCGTAACACATGAACAATGATTGAAGCTATTTACATAATAATTTTTGTTTAGAACTATCAGGCGCGTTGCAGGAAATAAGGTTTGGCCGTAGTCAAGTGAATTGCTAGCTTGGAAGTTAGTGCGAGAAGGGACACATTTTAACAACAGGAGTTTAGCGTAAGACTTTGAGAATAGTAGGAGAGACATTGTAATATGCACATCAAGTAAAACAAATAGCCTTATAACATTTATCTCAAATCGTTACGTTGCTATTCCTTAGTCAGAAAAAAGACTATTATTCGACGATGTATATATCCGACTTGTTAAACTTTTACAGAGATGTACGAGTAATTTGATAAATCACGTCCTGGCATATTTTATTGGATGATTTATTGAGCAATTCAGGTTGGAATTAAGTTAAATGATTGATTAAAATGTTTATTTAAGTTTGAGGGAAATTACTATTGTACGCTATTAACGTTAAGCGATTGTGAAAAGGTATCTGATGGTTTTTAGTATATTATTTAATCATATAACGACGTAAGAGTAAAATTAAACGTAGTGGAAACAGATAACGAGTTTAAGATATCGGTCTTTGACTTGACATTTAATTACTATAGCGCATGATTTAGCAGAATAAAGAGAATGCAGTTGAGCCAACAAGGGTCACTAAAGCAAATAGCCGATTACTGATCGTTAAAGATTCATTAGTGAAGTCATTTCTTCTGTGGCGGGATTTAGTTATATTTATTAATTCCGTGCCGATTTGATATATAAATTACCATGAAAAGTAAATATCGGCTAAAAAAGACTTATCCTTCAGCTCACAGTTTATGCACCCCTTCCTCTATAATCGTAACTCTTTTCTCGCCCTGCCGTGGCCGAAATTGTTGATGTGTTGAGGTGTGTGGTGGCGGCATAATCACCATTTGTTGGTGTGATGTCACACCAACGTTTTGCTGGTGTAATAAAGATTGGTGCTGCAAATGAGTCGACGGAATTGTTGAAGCTGTTGATGTGGAGGGCTGATGTTGATTATTACCGTATTGGTTCTGCTGGATCTTATGATGCTGGATGGCATGGGCAGATATTCGAGGTGGAGGGGGTGGATCTGGAACCTCTAAAGGCTGTGTCTCATTTTGGAACTCTGGAGGACAAGCTGGTAGAACTTCAAACGGTGACATAGTCTCGTTGTCCTCGACTTGTGACTGAACCGGCCTCGGTTTACGAAGAAAACTACTTACGGGACTAAAGGATCTTTGAGAATACATTTTTTGAAGCTCATCTTGCTGTTTAGCAAAGCCATCACTAGGTTCGGTAGTTTGATATGAATGACGTGGACTAGAAATATTCTGTGGAGTTTCGTTAGATCGGCATGTATCTGAAATGTGAGCTAATCTATTAATGTTTCTGGATGAGGTTGAATGTTCCATGGTTTCACTTTGTTCGGAGCGAAACGCGCAATTTGATTGTACGACAGCACGATGAGAATCATCAAAACTATTTTGATTTTCGCTCATTTTTGAAGATGGAATGTTGAACATGGACGAACTGCAAGACTCTCGGCTGCAACGCAGGCTTTCATTGGATTCTTTCAGCCGCTGTCTGGATCCAGAATCTGAATGACGAGGAAGTGTCCTGCTGCATTCACCGCGCCCGCCATCGTCTTCCAGTGGCAGACATGGGATGGATTGTCGCCGGCCTGTTCGGGAGAGAGAAATTTTATGTGTCGTCATTATCTTGATAAGAAATTGAAGGGAAACCAATAGAAAATGCTACCCGAATTAGTTGTTGTTTGTTTTGATCATATTGGTGATATAAATTCGTGTGCCATTATGATAGTTCATTAAAAACAAAAGCGTTTCTTGTGTACCGGAAGCACATGTTTATGTAACAGGTCTATTCAAATATGGACAAAATTTAGAATTTCTCCCATTCCCATCGAATGTTGTGGCGCTTTTACTAGAACCATTGAGTACATCACCAAGTGTGTCAACTGTGTGTGTTTTATTATAATATGCACAGCGTTGGCGAATGGCTTGTCAGATTTTTTACATTTTTTGGTCAACGAAAATAATATGTATGGAAATTTAAACTCACTTTATTCGAAATGAAGAATTTAAAATTAAACCATTGATTTAAACAGCTTTTGAAGCATTTACTACTTGCTTAATGCCTCCAAGCAATTTCGTCCAACTGATAGGTCATCCATAGTACAAAACAGTGATACTGACATCTTCAATTCGTAAATACTTGGTTCTCAATGATTTTAGTTCTATGATATTAATATTTTGCATCTTCAATTCGTTTACTTTTTTTAATTTTTTTTTTGCATTGGATTTAATGATCTGTTAGGTACGGAAAATCGATGAGACAGTGCTAAGAAATAGGCATTAATGGCCTATTAAAGAACGTGACATATTTAAAAAATGCAGATTCAGCAAGTTTAACTATCCGTTTTGATATTCATTGAGAAGAAATAATTGATATATCACCGTTTTTCCAATGAAAGTTCTCCTTTCTTTTCGAAGAGAATGATTTATCTCTGAATGAATGATGCAAATACAAATAGAGTATAGAACCTGCTACGTCTCTAGATTTGAATACTTACAGAGAGTTGCTGAAGAAAGGGCCTTCAGTTGTTGCTGCATATTCTGCTGTTGTTCCACCCGTTGTCTGAAGTGATTTTTGTCGTTGTTCTGTTCACTTGAGCTCTGAATGCTGGACGCTGGAGATTGGCAGCTGTAGAGTATCATGTTCTTGCTGGGACTGTACACTTCACTAAACCGTCGAAAAAACAACAACTTATTACTTAAAAATATTTGTCGATTTATATTATGACAAAATATGACTTAGAAATGATGTATGTAATGAAGAGTAAAGAAATAATCGATTTACATTGATTTCAAAGACACATTAAATGATGTGAAATGGTTTACCATTTCAAAAAAAGCAAACCGTTATTTCATTTTGGAAAATTAATTTTTCTTTTAGACACAATGCGCATCTATTTAAAATAATACGGCATTAAACTTTTCTTTCAATACTTTCAATATAAAATATTAGTGAAGGTCAGCATTGTAGGATAAGAAACTTGTAACACTCATTAGTTGGAGGTCAATCAGAAAATAAACTGAGTTTTGCACGCTTCTACTTCTGGCACGCCATGCTGTAATAACTTATACAATAAACTTCAAAGTAAACCCCTTCTGATACTCCCTCATGTTGCACAAATCAGATAAACATATTTTTACGTCATCAATGAAAATAATTCCGGATTTACTCACGCAATTTGATGTAAAGTGTCGTGAGATCGCTGATTTTCATTAGGCTTCACGCTTTTATAGAAGTCGTGATGCGTCGACGACGAACTAAAAAAAATTAATTGGTTTCTTGAAAATTAACGAGAATGCAACATGAAATTTCATGGTAATCGTTAATTTTATTTTTAATTCATTTGCTCACAAGTCGGCCTGTGGCAACCTGGTCCGTAGAGTTTTGGAAATTAACAAATTAAATGTGCGTGGAAATTTTATATTTTCTAGGTGTTAGTGCGAAAAAATCAAACTCATGAGAAACTAAAGTGCAACTTGTAAATTTATCGTTCTGTAATTCCGAAATTTAAATGATTCGTGATCACAACAGTTGAATTGTTTACATTTTTAGCGCTTTATTACCATATGTCAAGTGTTGGACAAATCGTTTGATTTGAAAGGGTTTATCACAGCACTTAAGTTCATGAGAATTTTATATAATAACGTAAGCCACTAAGACTACTGGTTAATCCTTTATTGAATAAATTATCATAATTAACAATAAGAAATATTTAACATTAAGATGTAATCAACACTCTGAAACATATACTCAGGTTCAAGCAAAATTAGTAGAATATTAATATTCACCTCTTCAGGATAGACGGGCGCCCGTGGCAGAGCTTATCACACGAGGAGGAAACGTACTCAGGCAAGACCCCGAGCGACCCGTTGCCTTGCTTCTTCTTAAGATTGCTCTTCCTAATGGAAGTGTAGCGAGTCGTTGGGTACGAAGCTGACGATATTGAAGACTGAGGAGATTCTTCTCCCGGACACGACAAAGACGAAGTCATGGTTGTCTGGCCGGCAGTCATGGCAGAACTGGCAGACTGGCTGGTGGATTGGCTGACGGTCATCATGCTCAGGAGAGAAGCATCTTCGTTGAGCCCGCCCGAGACGCTCTGTTTAAATTAGTACACTTTGAAATGAAAGTATTGTGATTATATTAAACATTTTTAGGAGAATACGGTGAGTCAGATGTTTTCAAAAGATACGCGAAAAACTACCCTGACCGAGATTGGTGACATTATGTTCAATAATTCATATAAATTAATATTTTTGTCTGGATTACTTTCTTCGGAAGCTAAAAAGTTAATGAATCAGTAACTGGCATGAAATTTTGTACATGTGGAATCTTGCACTTGATCAAATGTACTTGTTTTCAAATGTACAGGTAAAATAGCTAGTTGTAAAGAGAAAGACTCCGTTAATAGTTTGCATTTTACTTGTCTTTAATGAATACATTAAAAAAGCAAGACAGATGCAGCAAATATAGCTGCACAAATCCCAGCATATATGTACATAACGATTGAACTTTTTTACCTTCAATTTATCTAATGTAAAATATGGGGTTAAGAGCAGCAAGACCTGCAGCTGAGGTTGCCGGGTGTTGAGTTTGGCTTGCTGGCTGCGCCTCGGCCGCCTCCAGATGATCAGACCGAAGATGATGGCGTTGAGGAGGAGCAGCGATGTCCCCATTCCAAGAGTGGCGAGCAGCGCCGTAGAGTAACGCATGAAGCTCATGGGCGCTGGTAGGAGACCTTCCGAAGACGGGCTGAACAACANTCATATCTTGACTAAATGGCAACCATGAACTTATGATTAACCATTAGTGCAATTTCTGATAAATCAGAGTTGGACAAATCTGTGAGAAATGTGCGATATTTTGTACTGCTGTCGGAAAGACTGGAATAGAATTGTGGGTGCAAAAAAACTGACCCTCTTGGAATTTTGAATGTTATGAAGAGAATTTTTTAGAAAAAGTCTGTAAAGTGAAGACTTGTTTTAGGACCAATAATGTGAATTAAAGCTAAGAAACTCAATGGAAATGATAATAAAGAATTGTTGAGAATGATTTTTAGACTTGTGATTTATAACAAAATGTAGGGGTTACGAGAGAATAAAATCCTTTATTGCATCTTTTAATTTCCACAGTAAATCGGATGATAGCCTACAATACCTACAACATTCTTTCTAACTTGTAGCTATAGTACAGAGATAACGTTTTTTTAACTATAGCGTAAACAAATAGAGTTGCTTGTTGTGTTTTATTTCGTCGTACGGACAAATGTAGGGTTTAAAACCCTAAACAAAGTTTACAGGGCTGAGTTCAATCGAATTTTGTTTGCCAGTACCTGTCGATAGTTGGCGAGAGAGCGAGAGTTGTAGTGAGGTGCGAGGTTTGGTCTGATAAGGTAGGGTCTGTAGTAGACGCAACCGCCACTCCTGACGCAATAGCCCCGCTTTTGTTTTGATTTTTAGGGTCTAAAAAGGCCCAGGGATCAACGGGTCTAATGGCTCCGTAGAACCAGACAGGGTCATCGCTGAGCTCCCAGGAATCGTTGGAGACTCGATGAGGAGCGCCCTCCCCGACAGCCTCCAGCTCTGGGATCAGCCAAGACCACAGGGCGAGCTGGTGAGCTCGGTACTGTGATCCGATGGACGGTGGCACGCCTGCAATTCGTTTAGGTTTGTTAATCATAAATAAATAATTCGTTTATACTACTCACATATCACACAGTTTTCAACAACAAAACTATATGCCTCAAACGGGTAATAATGGTCCTCCCGTGCAATGAATATTATGGCAATTCATATAAGTAATCTCAAATATGTTTTGAATGTGACAAACATGACCTATTACAATTAAGAAGTCAAGTAAAAAACATAATCTGGCATTTTTCCCGAGGATTAGATGTATATCTTGTAATCGAAAATTACTCCGTAATCTTATATCTGGCCAGGCTATAGCGGCAAATCCGGGAGACGGCGACTCGCGAGGAAGGTTCGGGTCTCTGCCGGAAAGAAGGAATGAATATATTGGAAATTCCTGCACATAAAAAGTGTAAGAATTACCAACATCAACCCTGTAGCAGCAATGATTCGTCAAAAAGTCGACCAACAAAAGATAATCATTTGGCTTAGTTATTACTTACGACTATAGTTTGAATCAAGTCATGACAAAAATTTATGAATGACTATAGCCATGTATTAACAAGTTATGAATGACCAATAACATCACCAGCCATTAGAGCCCAACTAGCTGGCTTTGAACGCTGTGTTTTCAAAACGATCGAAATTTTTTAATATTCATGAAATAAAACCTTGCAGAAAAGAAGATAAATTCCGCAATATTTGGCATCGAATAAAGATAAAATCAGAAAACCCAAGCCCCCCAAAATTCTGCTGTTCGCCTTTTTATGAGTGGAGCGATCGAAATTCAAGGGCATACAATTTATAGTAAAATTCAAGTTCCAAAATATCAAATGCAGAATTTAACGAAGGTAGGGTTTCATTTATATTTGACTGAGTTTTTTGCCCAAAATATTCAAAATAGAATTTACTTTAGTTTGTATTACTTTGATTCTCCGGTCTTAAGAACTGGCTATATTTTTAACACGTTTCTTCACACGCAGCATGACTTTGAGAAACGCATTAATTAAAAAATGAGGATAAACTCAGCATTTACTAAAAAAACGATCGAAGGCAAGCTGGCAGATCTAGTGTTTGCCATTAAAGCGTCTTTGATTAGGATCATCATATAATTACCAAAGGGTTAAATTCGAGTACTGGATTGGTAATGCTCTCGTATCTTTAACATTTGAAGCTAAAATTAAAGCGATTTATGGTAATTTCTCACGTAAAAATTTACGGACGCGGTAGCTTCTGATTTGTATTACCAGAAGCTGGGGCGACTCTAAATTTTGTTAGGGTTGTAATAACAAACCCGGACTTGGCGAAGTTTGTGACGAGCGTTATGAGGTCTTCAGAGAGCTGCGCGAGGACCGGCCCGGGCAGAGGAGGCTCAGGGGTGAGGCCCACTGAACTGTCAGAGAGGCCTGAGCCCCAGAGCAGCCCCAGCTCCCAGCCCGGTAGCTGGAACTGTGGCATGGAACTGATGAGCTCGTAAAGTGATCGTAAGGTTTTAACTAGAAAAATAAAATAATTAGAATAGAATATAATGATCATAAAATAATAAAACTTAGATAGAGACTCTAATGTAAAGAATATTATAATTGTAATTTTTCAGCTAAAGAAAAAATTGTTTACGACCTTGCAAGATCATTTCCCATTAAAAAGTCCGTAAGTCTATCCATTTTGAAATATCAAGAGGAAAAATATCGTAATTGTCATCAATTGTTTCATAAAATGGATTTAATCACAACTATGCGAGCAATTCCAGAGGAATTAGTACATCATGCAACATAGAAGTTGAGATTTATTAACAGAGCAGATGTACCAATTTACTGCCTTCAGGTGATGCCTTCGAGTGTTCCTGTAGAGACGGGGAATGTGGGGTAACGAAAACATTCACGTGATGCACGTGGAGTGTGGTGCTGCATGTGGAGTGTGGTGATGCACGTGGAGTGTGGTGCTGCACGTGGAGTGTGTGCAATGAAAACTGAGGTGTGTTGCTACACATGAAGTGTAACAGTTTAATTTCATCAGAATATTGTATAATACGACGAGATAAATTATCTGTAATCGGAGCAAATTTGCAATACCCGGATCAATAAATTCCTTAATAATTCCTTGATATCCATCAAAGAAATTCTGCACTTGTATTGCTTTGAACCAATGTCACTGTCTACAACGATCTTAACGTTTGAATTCGTTGAAACTTGGAGCAGTCATTGATCTTAAGAGAAACTTGACGGTTATAAAGTATTTTTTTCCCAAAAATTACTCCATTCATTGTCTTTTTCGTTCATTTCCCCTAATTGGGAAATAAACATCCATGTTTATTTCCTAATCAGGAAATAACCATGGAGTAAATAGAGTTCATAATCTCGTAGGATTCGCCAATCCATAATCACGGCCCGAAGGCAAGGCCATCCTGTCTTACGAATGTGCGTCAAGAAACTCCAATACCTGTGCGAAGGCTAGAGTCTCATTCAGCCTATAACTGGCGCTCACATAAGCCTTCCCTGTATAGTCTCACCAGCGCAAGTAATAATTACTTGCGCATAATTACTTGTAAGCGCAAGTACTTATGAGCCTCCAACCTGACAAGCGTGCGAGCAATGCGGACGAAGGTGGAGTTATCGACGCCTCGGTGCAGCTCGTGGGGCAGCCACGACCAACCTTCCCACGGCGTGAACCCCAGCAGTAGGTCGTGCGAGTGCTTCCCTCTGTTGAAATCGTTTTAACTTCAATTATGAGTGGATAATGATGATGATGATGATGATGCTAGTAGCGAGGCTGACAATGGAGTGTTATCCTTGCTCGGTGGTTCGCCTCCTGTGGCGCAAGGGGGACTCGCCCGGGGCCGGCAGCTGTTGGCCCCTGGAGCGGCAATAGATTTATTTTTATTAATCGATAATCATCCAATTGAATGAAGCCTGCTTAAATTAAGTCTTTCAAATTCGTCTGAATGATCGTAGGCAAAATAATTTTATACACCTTCGTTCAAATCAAATTAACCTGAAATTTCAGAATATGCATCGATAGAAGAAAAATATTTCGATTAACATACAGAACAAATTACTTTCATGAAAACAGGCCGCACAAAATGCCAACGAAAGACGGTCGATAGTGAAATGTTAAACATAAATTGAAAAGCATTGTCGCTCATTATTGTCTCTTTGGTACCTATTCGTATTCGTAGAGACTCTTATTATGGTAATACCGTAGAAAACAAACAAGATGAACAATAAGTGTGTGGTCAATTTTTCCACTTTTTTTTAAATTTTAGCCAGGAAAAAATTGCCAGAAGGTTCATTGAGAAATGAGTAACTATAGAACCACAAGCAGCAAATACGCACTCGAGTTGAACTAGACATCAGGTTGCCATCTCGGATACCCATTCCAGAGTTTCCTTTTACAGTTGCCCTATTGTAGCAAGAACCATTCAGTGTTCTAACAAAACTACAATTCGGGCTTCTCACGAAACGCGCGAACCACACTACTGAGGCTTTTCGTGCACAACTGATTCCATCCCGTAATGCTGTAATAGGAGGTGTGGTCTAGAGCAATATCCTTCAGTAGATAGAAAGTTTATTGATCCATGACCATACGCTTGGAATTCGCTATTCGTTTCGTTAAGTTATTATTCGAAATTTACCCCAAGTTCCTTCAATGATTCGGGGAGCTCATTTGGTCTGATGTCTTTCTTTCGTATGTTATCTTCTTGCACCATATTATTGATTACCACGTTAACCTTTTGATCTCATATTACAAAATTCTTGTCTTTATGTGCAGAAACTCACCATCAATAAACCTGATAAATGTCTCGAATCATCTTATCACTTCCACGAAACTTTGATGAAACCTTTAAAAACACGGAAAGGGAACAAAAATGTTGATAGCACGGAAAATGAGCGGCCGGTTGCCGCTAATTTTAGAGAGAGGGCGCCTCCAACGAAAAAAAAAGAAAATTATACGGCACATCCCACTGAAATTAACCGAAAAGTCAATGACAGATAGACTACAAAAACCATTCAAAAAGAATAGGAAATGAAAATTTCTTGACTAGAAACCCAAATCTGTTCTTATGAAACGGTAGAACGTTTTGTAGGGGTTATGAGAGCAAATCAAATTCAGTAAGCTTACAATAGCCTTTTCTGTCGTGGCAAAGAATTGCAGAAATTTTAGACTAGCAACAGTGCACCCAATCTACAAAGTCCGGACTCGTCTTTTCATGGCGTCTGCGTCAAATCCTTCCACGAACGAAGTCAGTCACACAATTTTATGTTGCTGGTCAACGGGGAATACGAAGTGCCGCATAATGGAGCTTCAGCCACAAAAAGGGTCCATAAATGTTCAATTTTTTGAGTGCTGCGATGCTGGATGCCATGGTCATATTTATTTCCTTAAAAATGGAAACCAATTTTTTTTAACATTTCACTGCTTGGAAGTAATGCTGATTATATAGAACTGGTCACTCAAATGTATTGGAATCAGATGTGCTCGCGATCATTTGATAAGTTCACTGATAAGTTCAAGTTTGGTTTTACTTTCATAAAAAAATTATTGATATAAAATTCACTGCCATGGATATAAAGTAAACTAGTTTGAAATAAAGATTCCTTTCGTCGACGCATTATTCAGCCGCTGCTGCTGCTGAATACTTTCAAGCATTATTAGCCGCTATAGCGACTGAATAATAAATATTAATAATAAAAATGCGGCGCTATTGGCAATCGGGAAATCAGAAAATCGGGAAACACACAGATGAAAATGAAAATATGGTGCAAAAGTTTTGTACAGATGACATTACATAGAAATATACAAATTTAATGCTTCGTCAATACTTTCGCACATTGGTTTAATTATTGCAAGGAATCTCATTTGCAAAATAAATATATTATGATATTATTAATCTTGAATAATTATTCACTCTACTCAATCTATGAATAGAGTATATTATCTTGAGAACTTATCAAATAAATAAATCTTTAATAATTTTATCCTATAATCTGGGGTCGGCTAAAAGTTTTTGATTCTGGAATGATTTTATTCACGATCAGAATGCGTTGTAAGATGTTGATGTCGTTACTAGAAAGAATTTATTTATGGATGGTAAGGAATAATATTAATATAATTCACAATACTGGTAAGGATTATTTTTATCTTGCCTATTATTTTTTTGTATTTCTCTTTGTCTAATGACAGATTTAGTTTTATATCAATATCACACATCTCTCATTGTGACTGGCAAGCTGGCAATAAATTTCATATTTATTTTTAAGGTTATTTTATTTAAGTGCTTAACTGCTTATAGTATGTGAATTTTTTTAGTTATCCATAAAAATAGTTAAAATATTTTGTGCGGGTCATTACCATTGAAACGTTTTTTCACTGAAACTTAAAATGTTCCAGTAAAATACATGGGGGATCTTGCGAATTTACTATTGATTAAATTGTGTTAGAGAATTGCATTAGACCTCACGAGATCCTGGAGAGCCGTTGCAGGCATACCTACAACCCTGACCGAGCTAAAGGGCTACTGGATTCATTAACTTGAGCAGATGCTACGAGTTTTCCAAGTATAACGCTGAGCGTCGCGTCTCATTGAAATTCAGTACTGTCAAGTTAGTGAAATTTAACATAGTCTGGAAAATGATTCTGACAGACTTGAGGCCGTCAGTCGACTATTAAATTAGCCAGGTAATTGGCAATGGAAAGACGAAAAAGACTGAGTAACGAGTGAATAACGAGTCTTGAGCTACGGTTAGCGAGCCTTTAAATGTTGTTCTCAGTTTATTTTATGGCTAGGTCACTCGGAAGTGATGATATTCCTGGCCAGTAACCAAGAAGTTCTTACAATAAGGTTTGTACTCGAGCCCCTTGTCAGCCATGTTACTCGTTAAGTGGCAAAAGCCTCGGTATTTCCTTTACTCCTGTTAAATCAATCTCCAAAAATTAGACAAAGTTGTATTTAAATTTGTTGCTAATCTTGCTAGTTTTAAGTCTTTGTGTGCATTTAACTGCATTTTTTTAGACGAGGCTTGTAGCTAATTATACTTGAAAGCACAAGTGTTGTACACTGAGATTAAAACAATTGTCACGAATTTCACGGACTTATCCTGGGCGATGAAATATTGCTGTTTATATACGAGAATATTTGCATATGTTAATTGTCTGCCGTCCGCATCTATGCAACTCTGCGGTTTTTAACCCGGCTCATTTCTATCATAAATTTTATATCCACAACAAATATTGAGCACTATTGCGAACATTATAATATTTTTTCTCCGGATTAGTTCAAGTAAATTTACGGCCACTCTATCTAAGGCAGGAACGCTACTTAAAAGAAACTTGAATGATAGGCAATTCAATACTGGAGATTCAATACTGGGCAATTCAATACTGGAGACGAAGCATAAATATATCAATGAAACAGTCTAGGCGCAATGACTTAAGATCCCTAAATTTCCCTCCGCTTCTGAAATGATGTAGGTAGATAGCTGCAACCTTTGTAGGTCATTAGCTCTTCCCCTAGCGAAGCCCCACCTTATGTCTGGGGCCACCACAACGCCATCAACACTCGGGCCCCACCTTGTCTGGGGCCACCACAACGCCATCAACACTCGGGCCCCACCTTATGTCTGGGGCCACCACAACGCCATCAACACTCGGGCCTCACCTTATGTCTGGGGCCACAACAACGCCATCAACACTCGGGCCCCACCTTATGTCTGGGGCCACCACAACGCCATCAACACTCGGGCCCCATTGTTCTGTTGGGCAACAGGAGTTTTTCAAGAGGGTATATAATACGGCTTACTGCGATGTTCTGTTGGGCAACAGGCAGATGAGCTCAAAGAGGGTAGGGTATTTCCGTATCAAGAACGTGCATTACGACGTTTATTTTAATGCAACAGAAAAGTTCGAGTAAATAGTCATGGGAGGCGGCCAAAAAATGTTGCCATTTTATAGGGACGTTAAAATTCCAGGATGTCGTAAAGGCAGAAGAAAGTGGAAACACAACAGCGACAATTTATGAAAGTATATATTTGCTCAACTTCCATGGCATCCATACATACTACTATTTGTTGAAATGAATATATTTAATTAAATTACACAAATATTAAGCAAACCGCCGCCTAATATTTAAATTACACAAATATTAAGCGAAATTGAATGAATAAATATCATATGTTGGGGTGTACATTTCGATGAGAACGTGCGAGACGTGGATTATAGTTAATTCATGTATGTATACTGGGGGATTGATAGGTCTATACCGGTATAGTGTAGGGTCGTATAAAAAATTTGGAAGTTTCATTATTAGGAAAAAACTAAAAAAACATAGTTGATGCTGTTGGCGATATTCAGTGAGCTAATAAAGCCAATGGAACAATCATGGTAATTGTTCCATTTCATTTTTATTAAATCTTAATTTCGATTCACCTTTAAATTTTAATTAAAAATCTTAATTTCGAATCGTAAAATCGTAATTTCGAATCGTAAAAATCTTATATTTTTACGATTCACCTAATGATTTTGATAGTTCTTCAATATAGATTTAAAATCTTATATTCTTGCGATTCACTTAATGATTTAGATAATTATTCAATACATGTAGATTATAAATCTTATATTTTTATGATTCTCTTAATGATTTAGATAATTCTTCAATATAGATATATTCGTGACGGACACAATAAATGATAGTAAGAGCTTGCCTGTCCTCGGGCACTGGGCAGTCGAGGGTGAGGGCGAGCTTGATGGTGTTGCTCAGCGGCGCTCTGTCCGTCCGTCTGTCAGTGACCTCAAGTTTTCGTCGACGAGAAAATGCGCTCTCTGTCACTCACTGCAGTGAGTACTGAGTTATATTTTTTTCATTTCACGCCAGAGAGCAACACGGCGCGGTTGAACAGTCCTGCCACACAAACCAGCAAATAAGCTACTTCTGCTGGACTCGGGTGGTATTTGCTAAGCAAAAAAATTATATACTTACACTGCATTTTTTAGCGCATTTTCTCATTTATGGAAAAAATGCACTATTGTGCTCGCCATGTCCGTCCGTCCATCTGTCTGTCTGTCCGTCCGTCTGTCAGTGACCTCAAGTTTTCGTCGACGAGAAAATGCGCTCTCTGTCACTCACTGCAGTGAGTACTGAGTTATATTTTTTTCATTTCACGCCAGAGAGCAACACGGCGCGGTTGAACAGTCCTGCCACACAAACCAGCAAATAAGCTACTTCTGCTGGACTCGGGTGGTATTTGCTAAGCAAAAGTATCACATACCTACACTGCATTTTTAGCGCATTTTCTCATTTATGGAAAAAATGCCCTATTGTCCTCGTCATGTCCGTCCGTCCGTCTGTCCGTGACTTCACGTTTTCGTCGATTCTGAGAAAATGCGCTCTCTGTTACTCACTGCAGTGAGTACCGTACTGACTTATATTTTTCATTTCAGAGAGCAGCACCAGCAGGTCACCATACAGTCATTCGGGTTTACTGTATTTTAAAATCGTTTCAACCTCTTAGTATGTAATAATTTGGAAAAATTTTCAAGAAAAGCTATTGGAATTCTTTGCGAAACATTAGTTTTTTGACTAAGAAAAAGCTTTTTAGTTTCCAAGGTTTTCACACAGTGAAATGTCATGTAAAGATAATTTTTCATTTCGAATACCATTCAGAATTGCTAACTGCACCACACTCATTCAATAAGTTTGTGCGAAAAGCATAATGGACGTGCACGATGTTGCTTCTATAGCCCGGTGCCGGGTCAATATGAGCCAGAATGACCTACGTACGCAAAGAGAAAAGGTACAGCGTTTTTTGTAAAATGTCTCTCATTTATCTGATCGTACACTCACAATAACTCATTAAAGTATAAGATTTGAGTATTAATAATTTGTCACGTTCGTCAAACCTGGAGGCATAACAGGGCTCTCCATGAGGTATGTGATACAAGCGGCACCCGTGTCGCGGCCCACGAGAGTAACTTTGTTTCTGTCGCCATGGAAGTGCCCGATGTTGTCCACAAGCCAACTCAGCGCTGCAATTTGGTCCAACAACGCGAAGTTGCTTGCTACTCCAGCCGAACCTTCGCCGGGGTAGCTGTTCAGGAAGCCTGAGGAGAGTTCAGTGAATTAGCAGGTGAATTTTTGAATTTGTCTCCTTATACAGCGCCGCTTGAGGGAATTTGAAAAATTAAGTATGCCATTGTAGGAGGTTAAATAATTTAAGCAACTTAAAATGTTGGGGGACCAGCGTTGAACAATTCAAGAGGAATTTCATAACAATTACTCTTTTGGTACGAGTAAAAAATTTTATACAAATAATTACTTTGTCATATATAAGTACACAGTTAAAGATGAGAAAAATATGTTTTGAATTTATGTTTAAAAGTTAGAGTATATTTAATTTAAAAATAGTTGGTTCATCAGGAATTAAATAGCTCAAAAAAGAAAACATTTTTAAATATTAATGAGATCTTCAATAGATATTTTAAATGAATGGGATCTTCAATCGATTTCTTCACAGCAGTGAGGGAATGTATAAATTACATTGCACGACGAGTTTTCACTGTGATGGAGTATGGGGTTGGAGTTCATGAATTTCTTTATTTCTGAAAGCAATATAAATTTCTTTTTTGCTGGAAACTGACATCTTAACCACTGTGACACTGCATAATTTCATAACGTAATTACCATACCGTACAATCGTACCGATGACCGTTTTTTACCCAGAATGAAATACAAGTTCATTATCACGCTGAATTCACCCGGTCAAAATACACGAGCCTCCAATCAATTCATATAAAAGGAAGTCTATTCTTCGTCTGGCAGTGTACATAAATTTGATACGACCAGCTTTGCAAGATACTAATATGTTCGGAACTAAAAATAAATTAATTTTGGAACATAAATTATATCGTGGCCTGCTAAAGAGTAATATAATGTTAATTACCGAAAAACAATCGGTGGCTAACTGATTTCTGGGAAATCTGAATATGAAAGTATCATTTAGTAATTTCGCAAGGGAAATTGAACGATAGGTGAAGTTATCAATCAACATGTTTACGTAACAATTAAATTGCATTGTCACGAGAATTGAAATGAACAAAAAATGAAATATTCGCCCTAGCACAAGAAGCTTATTCCTGAAATGGAAAGTGATTATTCCATTATTCACAGATAATGGAAATAAATCTCTGATGATTTCAAGGGTTCAAAATTATTAGTCCCATCCTGCATTGTTAGGGAATAGTATAAATTTGTAAATATTTCATGGTAACAATTATTCCATCAATTTAATTTAAGCTTTCCGTACTTTAGGTTATGCAAACATCTGGGATTCATTGATTCATCTTATAGTTACGCGCTGGTAACGACTACCACCCGGCACAACGCAATTGTACGGACATGTTTTACTGAATATATTGTGAATACTCAGTGTTCTATCTGACTTGAAACCTTTTCACGACCGTGCAGAGATACAGTGACAAAGAAGTAGTCCCCAAGCAGCATACAGTGCCAATCTTCAGCCCTTAATAGATGGTCAAGTTTTACCACATTTAGAATCGCGCCGAGTTTAGATAAAATTGTACGGTTGTACCAATGAAACCGGACAAGGGTTAATTAAGCGTTGTAGTTCATGTAGGAGACACGTTCGAGATCTACTACTCGCGTTCTAACACTTTGTAAAAAAACACGACCCGCATGTAATATTGAGCTTTCTGCGCCTCTTATAGACACACACAACAATCCAGAAGCGAAAACCACGTGAACAATCGCGGTCATGGCAATGAGGTAGAGCTTGTTCTTATTCAATATAAATTGCGTCATGCAGATAGAGCTAAGAGCAAAAATACACAACAAATGTTAATATAAAATACTGATTTGCCCACCGGTTGAAAATGTTGTGTTAATAGAAAGCTTTTGTAAAGCCAGTTCTAGAAAAGAATTTAATGTCATTGTCTTCAAGTCCTGGTGAAACTCTAGTGCGAGCCCTATAGTAACACTCAGCTTAGTTAAGTGATGAATTAAGTTTAGTGACCTCAGCTCCTCTATCGTGTAATATCTATGTCCTGGTTAAAATTCAAACGGCTACCTCATCAAGATAGGCAGAGACAATGATAAGGAAAATAGTAGTCATTCTGGGTTGTTTCTTTTTTCTTCTTGTAAAACTGCGGAACAAAATTCCGCACATCAGAACAAATGAAAATACAAACTGAAGATTTAGACCAAGTACATATATACATGGGTATTTAATAAACCAATATATCAGTATCGCACAGCTCTTGGCTAAAATAAATACGAACGTGGCAACAGATACAAATCACTAGGAACTTACGAGGATGGTATGTGCCCTATAGTCTTTAAATTCTAAATTGTCAACGGGAATTCAAGCTTACTTTACTGTCAAATGAAAGGAAACGATTTTACTCTACACAGGAGAACTACAAACTAACTACTATAATATGAACAAGACAATATGAAAATTATAGCATATTGACCTTAAGATTAATTCAGTGGAAGCTTAACTCCTAGGAACATCAAAACTGTAATTAATGGCAGGAGGCTGCGACAGCTCCGCGCCGCGCCGTAAGGCTACAAACTAAACGTGCATGTCGCAAGCGTACTGGACACGACAATCTATGCGACTTTCGAGGCAATGTAATAAAAAGCCTAATTAGGGACGCATCCCAGTAAACGCGCTAACAATTTTATCTTCGTCTTCGTATTTATCTGCAGCGTGATCATACTAGACACTTCCATGATCGGGTACCTTCCATTGTTGAATCTATAAATCTTCCATTCATTATTCTAAGTGAAAATAATGGCAAAGTTTCTGGTGGGGACAAAAGATAATTTTCAACACCGATAAGAAGACTCTTCGAATATACAATAGTATAGTAAACTTTGCTTGAAGCATGTGTCCCCGAAATTTTTCGTGATCGCGTACCACTTGTTGGCTCCGTACCACCACGAACAACGAATAATATGTATTAGTCGAATGTATGCATCAATTTGCTCTGCAAAATGAGCTAATTGAGTGAAATAATTGTTTGAATTTCACTGACCGAGAGGGCCAAGCCTGTAGTTGATGGTGACCACAACCACGCGGCCGTAAGCGGCCAGCACGGAGCCGTCGTAGAGGGATCCTGCGCCCCAGCTGAAGGACTCCCCGTGTAGGTACACCACCACAGGATACACTTCCGAGCCAGGGATCACTGCGCGGGCCAAGCCGGTGGTCAGTATAATTAGTTATGGTATGGGTGAAATTTTTTGCGCGGTCGGGATAATAAAATGATGTAATTTAGATGAAAATTAAAAAAAAGTTCGACATCTGTTTCACCAACACAGATGATAAGATAAAAATTTCTTGATTAAATAAAAAAATTAATTTTTTTCATCGAAATATTAGAGATAGAAGCTCTTCTATCTGCGAAAATATCTAAACGCAAATAAACTTCGATTTTAAGGATAGGTTTTAAAATATGAAATGTAATGTTTCAGATCAGAGTAAGTGGGCAAGTAAGTAAGAAGTAAGAAGTCCAATTTCATGAGTTAGAGTTCCAATGAAGGAGTAAGAGTCCAATGTCATGAGGCAAGACAGATTTGGTACCATCATGAAATGGTTGCATTGTAGTGTTGTTAATTTAGGTAAATCAGGCAAATATTAGAACTTGCTGCCTCACGGCCCCAGCCATCGTCAGCCTGCAGGGCCAACGAATATTGGCGGCCATCAATATGTTGGCCGCAAGCTACGGCGCTTTAAAGCTGAAGGCTTTGAAGCCTCACGTGAATATCCGACACGTGCGCCACATCGTCAAAATAATTCCGTCAACTCGATTCTCCCTCATGAAAATGAAGCTTCGTCAACTTGACACCGCCTCATGGAAATAAAATGATAATTTGAAGCTCCATTATGAAAATTTATTGACAACTTGACGCTCCCTCATAGAAATTTAATGACAACTTGACGCTCCCTCATGAAATGAAATCCCGTCAACCTTACGGCAATTCAAGCCGCGGCGGCGTTCAGAGGCGCTACCAACACCGTTACTGAATTCAACACAAACTTTTGACTTTATTTCTTTGATCTTCCTAATGCATTTCATGATTTAGTTCTGGGTCATAATGTTGAAGAATGATACGACATACAATGAAATGGAAGAACGAAGTACCTGGAATCGTTGGAATACATCTACATTTAAATATTGGCTAATTTCGGAAAGTTTTCAAAAAAAATCATTGTGTGATTACAGAAAAAGTAGAAAATGCCAATTTTGTGCAAATAAATTTATTTGCTTATGAACCGTTAATGTGTGTTTTCAAAGGATTACGGTTAAGAAACTTTTCTCAGAAAAACTGGTCAGCTATATGAAATAGCTCTTACTGTACTTCGAGAAATGTATGTCATAGAAAGTATTCGTCAAGGCAATAAAATAGTTATCAATACTCAGATTAGTCAAATTATTAATAGATTAGTTAAAACAAATTATCAGTTACTTATATTATTTGATCTATAATTATTTTATGTCAGGAAAATTATTCATCCATTAAAAATGTTAAACGATGCCAGTTGAGCGACGCCGTAGGAAGTTATGATCTGATTTTTGAAGTTTTTTTATAAACAATTCAAAAGCTGATAAGCTTTGACTGGCATCAAATTTGGCATCCGCAAGAATTTTTTCTTATCATTGATATAGTCTTGAAAATATTCTGAGTCTCAAAGAGTCACTAACTGCAAGAGTCTTCAAAGAGTCACAATTAAACTGCAAGATCGAAATTAATCTTTTCATCGAACAGGCATTATCGGGATTAACAATGATGTATATTACTAGGGTGGCGGACATGAAACGGGAATTTTATGCGCGTTTGTTGGAATTTATAATGTCGCTTAGTATTAAATTTGTTCATTATTTAATTCAACTCCACACATTATGATGGAATAACAGTTGCTTACCTTGAATAGGTGAGTAAATTGAAAGGGTGAGGCAATCCTCGCTTTGGTTGAGGAGAAATGGACGAATTCTACGAATGTAAGTTGCCCTCTCGTCGGTCATCGAGTTGTCAACATCGGGCAGAATTTGAGGACAAACAGGAGGCTGTTGAGTAGCGTCCCTTACTTTATCCCAGGGCGTTGGGGAGTTTGTTGGGGTAAACCTGCCGTCTTCCACTGGCGCTGAGGCATAAGGAACACCCAAAAATACCTCGATATCTCCTAAAAGATGCCCAAGAGGCCGGATGAATCCTTGGACACTGCCATACTTTGTATTAACCACTCGAGTCTTGCTAGCACCACTCACTCCAGGAAAACTCAGCAATATGAGTAGCAGGAGTGAAACGAAGAGATAAGAAATAACTTGTTTTCTAATCGCCAGACTAATCCCCACATCATTCACTGCGTTCAATTGGTTGACTCCACATTTTTGTGACGGCGTTAGTCGATTTTTCAGTACAATTCTGCTTTCTGTGCACGCGCCCGCAAAGTCACAGGAAAAGTTTTCTAACTTTTGCAGGGGCTGAATACGTGTTGCTGTCAGTTGCTGACAGGGTGACAGCTTCACCCTAGCTGCTGACGTTGAAAATTTCATCCTCGACTGGCCACCTTGGCTGACGTTGTTGTCAGCTATTCATGGTTGGCTTGATATTTTAGCGAAGACCTGTGAAAACAGAAAAATTCTTCATTAACACTGATGAATTTAAGATAAAAACATATAAATACACAACAGAAAATTTTCAAACAAAGCACAATAAAAATGTGGCACCCAACAATTTTCATGAGTGCAACTTTAACTTTCCTGTTATTGATGCAAACAGATATCCACGACTCGTTCAGAAAATGTAAAGAATAGTGCTGCGAGCTAAGACATCGGATGAGGTATGGCAAATAGGTGCGCCATTAATTAGATACTATGACAATATTATTTTATACTGCAAATCTTGTCTCGTAACAATTCCTTTTCACTTCGTGTTTTAGGCATATGCATAGTGATTTCAATCTATAGGTCATATTATTGGTGGACTGTTTGCCCGACTGTAGTTTAGTTATTTGCTGATATGAATTTAATACTTTTGTTCTCCATACATAATAATCAAACCCCTACTTGTAAAAATTCTACTTAAAAGTCTGTGTAAACTTGAAGAATTTGGTTGGTGGCTTGCAACCTATTTTAGGCAGCGTTACAGGGGTTACACTCTTTAAAGAATATTCGGTCGGTTTTTGCATGATTATGCGTGCGATAGTCGGTCAGTGTGTTCGAATACTTATATCATGGATACCCCATATTTATGAGCTCCTCATAACGTCTCAGTTAATTTCGCAGGCTTGTTTTAGATTGGTATCCATGCTACTGTGCTGTTGCGTGGCCTTGCAAAAAATTACTGTCCCTGTCGAAAACAGGTAAACCTGCTACAGAAATTCGGGGACAACCGGGGCACTAAAATAATCATAAAGCAGTAATTAAATAAATTTCTTAACTATCTCAAGAATGTTTTGCAAAATTTCTGGAGCATGTCCTTACAGTTGGACATGCACATATAAAAAGAAATTACGTAAAATTGCAAAGCAGAGTTAAATGATGATCATTGATAGAAGATTACAACCTCACTTGAGTTTTAGATTCCACCTTCGCACTGAATGAATTTTATCACTCGATTTTTAGTAGAATTTGTCAGGTTAATATCCAAAATCAGATCCATAATATTGAAATAGAATTGAACGCGTTGATTGAAAAAAAAATTCGATATAAATGTTTAAAGAAATTTATAAGAAAATTCGTTATTTTGGATGTGCGGTTTTTAGGAAAGAAATGCGTGTTAGCAATAAATATGTTGTTCACTTATGGCCGCATCTTCTCGAGTCGATTGGAACAATTTTCCGGGCATTCTACCTTATTGAAGTATGCATCGGCTGCACTCGGGTCTCCGTTGTAGTTCTTCTTCGGAAATAAGAACAATATCTTTATTGGCTTTCCGGCCTAGAGCACTTACCCTTAAATATACTTGAAGTCGTCTACTTAATTGTAGATACTTGAACAACAAGTGACGCTTGTTTAGGATTGCCGTGTATTTAATATTGTAAATGCTGGGCGACATATTGTGTTTAATTCTTATCTCCATGTGTTTCTATATATAGAACACTTTAATTGTTGGACTTTAAATTGTCCAAGACTTAATAATTTTAAACTAAATGCCTATGAAAATAGCGAGGAAATTGATGTTACGCAAAAACAAATGATTTATATTTGCATGCAATTGCATTATTCGCTTTCGAACCAACTTAGAGCAGAACAGCCAAAAAATTCCTAGATTCTATCAAAAAAGTTGAGACAAAAATCATTAGTATTTCTCCAGTAGTATTAATAGAATACACGACTTTTCGAAGTGTCGTCACAGCTCATAATATTGTGATTAAGAAAGGGAAAGATTATCCACCGTCTGATCCAAAAGCGCAGTTTTTGGAGTCATTAAACGCTTTGAAAAGGTATTCCATTTTTGCGGTGATAGGTTCAAAATATCAATAGCGGGATTTTAGCAAACCAATATTATAAATGGTAAAAAAGAAGGAATACGCACGAGGCGAAAATCAAATGATAAAAAGATCTAAAATACACCGAGTATTGAGATCGTATGGATCGAGCTATCAATAAGGAACAGTCTACACTCTACACCTCATTTTTAATTTGGTGGCTAACCGACAATAATTGTTTACGTCTGCTGCAAATGCACTTCTTTTATTCAGGGGAAAATGTATTCATTAAATTTCAATCCATCATTTCTTCGAATCACCGAAGTTTGAAAATATCCCTGACTAGCCAATTCACCACAAATTGAAATGTTCAACGGAAGAAATTATAATTAATTATAATTTTTACACGAACCAGATCTTCCCATATTTATATTCTTATCATTTTACATTTGGGCGGATGTTTTCGCGTTTTTTCAGGCCACACGCTATTCATCAAAACAATCCCGCAAAAGTTTTAATCTCAAACTTAGGACGGTTCTCAGCAAGTTTCTAGAACGTCGCTAGAATGAAAAGTTACGACTGCAGTCAGCGGATATTGAGAGCATATTTTTCTCGAAGACCTGAACTTGACATTTTCACGCTGGATGAATTGGCCCTCGTGCTGAGATCTTTCGAAATTTTTCTCATTATCGATTACTTGAATCGAAATAAAAAATTAAACTATAATAATTTCTTTCAGTAGGTATGCAAAAATGATCACTCAAACTTTCGAGCTCCTACGGTTAGTAGTGATACAAGATTATAGGCAGTGAAAGAGGGACAAAATGAATGCTTTATAACGCTGCAATGTTCATCATTCATTCTTCGTTTTCTGTTTATACGGTCAAGACACACGTATAAATCATGTGGATTCACTGTTATTCGAATCTTTTTTGTTCATAAGCACTTTCTGTTCCTGATGTCGTTCATACTTGTTCTTCATCAACTAAATTTTTTACGGCTTATTGCGGCGGGTTGGCTTGGGCAGTTTTTGCGTTGTCTTCTAAACGATAGGCCATAAATAAATAAGTAAATAACGTTTGGTTTTGATGCTAGTTCTTCTTCATTTGAATCAAGTCAATTAATGATCGATACCAAAAATCAATTTCTAAACCTCAAGCGAGTTAATTAAACTGATTGAATTTTCAACTATCATTACCATCAACTTAGTAGCGTTGGCAAATATGCTGTAATCTCCAGCAGCATCAACGTACTGCCACGTCGAAACATAGTCTCAACAAATTCATGGACTAGCGAATATACCGAGGTATGTTTATTAAGTCCGTACCGTTTTGGAATAAAAAAAGACGTGTAAAGATATCGCATTAATTATATTTTTAAATGAAGGCCTGTACCTTAATCTTCTTTTCTACACAATTTCCGTGAATACTGAGCAACTTGTCATAACGTGGCCCCAGTTTTTGAATACCTTCCTGATAAAATTCTGCCGCCTGACTTGTTAACCACTGCATCACAAATGTTTTGACTTCGTTATCGTCTTGAAGACGCCGACCGCCCAGGTGTTTCAAGTGCAATGTGATGCATTTGATGCAGTGTGATGCATCACACTGCACTTGATGCATCAAATGCATCACACTGCACTGGATGCATCAAATGTATCGCACTGCACTCTTCATTTGTGATGCAGTTGTTAACAAGTCAGACGGCAGAATTTTATCAGGAGGGTGTTCAAAAACTGGGGCCACGTTATGACAAGTGCCTCAATATTCATGAAAATTATGTAGAAAAGTAGATTAAGGTGCAGGCCTTCATTTAAAAATATAATTATTGCGATATCTTTGCACGTCTTCTTTTAATTCCAAAACGGTACTGTCTTAAAAACATGCCTCGTAGAACGTAACACTTAAATGAGTGATATCACTTTGACTTCTCTTTTACTGGAGAAAAGGCTCATATTAATATCAATAAATATAGATGACTTAGCTTATTCCAACTTTAGAGATACAAAGGCTAATAAATGTATATAAATGTATAATAAATAAATAAAAATTCCCGTGCTTAATGCGAAAATGAAATGAAAGGTAAAATTTGATCATTAACAATTATTTAGGTTACCTATATGTCGTTTTCTACGGAAATTAATTGGATTATCATCCGAATTTATTCAATTCAAAGAGCAAGCATTAGTAAATTAACGACAATTAGAATCATAGTAGGCATTGAAGTTATTTAAAGTATTGAGGTACAATGTCTAGTGATATGTTCTTCTATTTAAAATATTACATTCTACACTCATCTTATCAAAAAATACTCTGAAGTAAATATTTAAAAAAACAACCTTCACCGCAAAACCGGTAAAATTTAAATGAATTTCTTCTCCCGCCCTAAATTTCCTGAGAACGTCATTCAATCTGAATAGAAACTTCGTATCCAATCGGTTCAATTTCAGGCTTGACACCTTCGACTGACAGTGCGTAAAATTCTTTAATGATGAACTGGAATTTTCAACTGAGCGAGAAACTGACCACAGGTGGCCTGAAGACGACTCAAATTAAGAAAAAATTGCAAAATTAGTATCTGGATCATGGCCACAGGTTGAGTTGAGATAAAAAGATGATCAAGTCATTTTCAAATTTACCCATTATATGAAACATTACGAAAGCTTAAACGTGATGACAGTTGAAAGAAAAAATTTTAATTTATGGAGATTTATTGTGCACTATTTCCCATTTCTCAATCACAAATAAAGTTAGCGAGCTCACAAAGGGAAAATTTTTAATGGAAGCATAAAAGACATCCACGTAATTACGTAACTGTGTATATGGATCAAAATTTTTCTTTATCGACTATTGATGTACGTCATCAATAGTCGGCATCAATACGTACGTCATCAATAGATACATCGATACGCACATCAATAGTCGTCTTTATCGACTATTGATGTACGTGTGTGGGCCATGATTGTTACATTAGTGGATCGATTACTGAAGTCGCTCATGATAACGAAATTTTAACCCATGCATTTTAAATGAACTCAATTATTGACACAACCGTGCGCTCGCAACGCTGCAGCTCATTACTATCACTTATGTCGTCGGTGTCAGCCTCTATATCAATTTACGAGTACATAATTTATTGAGGGCGTCATGTCATTCAAATTTACAGATTAAAATTAGAATAATAGTCACACA